GTAATATTAGTGTAGGACATAGACATGATATATATTTTTTGCATTTGTTAAATTTATTTTCTTTCCCTTCTTGCTCACTTTTTCCAAAAAATAAAAAAAGTCAACACAGCATTTTCGATTTCTATTTCAAACCACCCCAGGCTAACTCAGAAGTATTTGCTTGTGGTCATTTAAAAGGATAGCTTGGTGTAGTCATCAAAAAATGCACAACTTTCTATTACCAGTAATAATAGCAACAACTGTCATTTCTTGAGCTCTTACTTTGTGCTGGCCAGTGGTTTAAGAACTTTGTTTATGCAACAAATATTATTCAGAACCAGTCATATGCTAAACACCATTCTGGCATGTAGAATATATCTGCGAATAAAAACCAAGAACCCTGATGCCACGGTGGTTCATCATGGCAGGCAGACCAGGTAGTAAACTAGCATAAACAAAAAGCAAAACATATAATATGTTAGAAGGTGAGAAGTGCTGTGGGGAAAAAAAAAAAAAAGAGTAGGTTCGATAGAACAACCAAGCAAAAGATCAATAAGGAAAGGGAAAACTTGAACACTATACATTAACTTGTTCTAACAGACGTACAAGTATATTTCGTTTTATTACAGTTGGCAAATAATGTGTTGTGTTACAAACTGAAGGTTTGAGTCAACCCTCTGTCAAGTCTATCCACATTCTAACATTTACTCACTTGATGTCTCTGTGTCACACTGGTGATCTGTGATCAGTGATTACAACTCAGATAATGGTTAACACTTTTTAGCAATAAAATACCCTTTAATTAAGATATGTGCTTTTTTTGTAGACCTAATGCAATTGCACACTTAATAGACTATGGTATAGTGTAAACACAACTTCTGTTTGCATTGGAAACCAAAACATCCATTCAATTCACTTTATTGCAATGTTTGCTTTATTGTGGTGGCCTAGAACCAAGCCTGCAATATCTCCAAGTTATGCCTATATATAAAGCATTCCACCCATCAATAGTAGAGTATACATTCTTCTCAAGTGCACACTGGAACAGGCTCTAGAATGTACCATACACTAGGCCGTAAAACAAGCCAATAAATTGAAAAGGATTGAAGTAATTCAAATTATGTTTTCTGACCACAGTGGAATGAAGTTAAATGTCAACAGCAGGAAATGTTTGGGAAACTCACAAATATGCAGCAATTAAACAATATATTCTAAATAACCATTGAATCTAAATAAATAATCAATAATTCAAAGAAGAAATTAATAAGGAAATCAGAAAATACATTGTGATGTATAAAAATTAAAATACAAAATGCCAAAATTTATGGGATACAGCTAACACAGTGCTTTAGAGGGAAATTTATAGCTATAAATATATATGCTGAGAAAGAGGAAGGATCCCAAATTAATAATCTAACCTACCTTGAAATCTTGTAAGAAAAAGAGCAGACTAAACCTAAAGAAAGTAGAAGAAAGGAGATAGTAAAGATGAGAGAGGAAATAATAAAATTAAACAAAGAATAGAAAATCAATAAAGAGTCAATAAAACCAAAAGCTGGTTTTTTGAAAACAAAAAATTGGAGAAATGTTTAGCTACACTGTCCAATTAAAGAGAGAAGACTAAAGTTACTACAATTAGAAATGAAGTTGGGGGCATTACTACTGATCTTAGAGAAATGGAATAGATTATAAAGGAATATATATATGAACAGTATATCCCAATAAGTTAGATAATCTACATGAAATAAACAATTCCTAGAAAGAACACTACCAAAACTGACTTAAGAAATAGTCTGAATAGAAAAATAACTACTAAAGAAATTGAATTTAGTAATCACAAAAGTACTTAGGGAGCCAAAAAAAAATTAAAATTAAAAAAAAAACAAAAACCCCAGGCTTCATTGCTGAATTCTACCAAATGTTTAAGGAAGAAATATCTGTTTTTCAAACTCACTGAAAAATTAGAAGACAGAACACTTCCTAATTCATTCTGTGAGGCCAGCATCACCCTAATCTCAAAACTACACAAAGATATGACAAGAAAGAGAAACTACAGATCCTATCTCTTAAAATAATGGATATAAAAATCCTTAATAGTAGCAAACCAAATCCAGCAACATATAATAAGAATTATACACCATTACCAAATGGGATTTTAGTCCTAGAATACCATGTTGGTTTGACATCCAAAATTCAATTAATGTAATATACTTCAAAAGAACAACAAAAAAACCCATGTGATCATCTTAATAGATGTAGAAAAAAAGTATTTGACAAAATCCAACACATTTAATGAGAATACTCAACAAACTGGGAATAGAAAGTTTCTCAACCTGATAAAGAACGCCTATAAAAATCCCACAACAGCGTATTTAATAATTAAAAACTGAATGCTTCCCCTGAAGTAAGGAACAAGTCAAAAATGTCCATTCTCAGCACTTCTTTCCAACATCATAAGTGAGGTTCTAGCCAGGGCACTTTGGCAAGGAAAAGAAAATAAAAGGCTTCTTTACTGTGGAAAGGAAGAAGTAAAACTGTTTCTATTCATAGATGACATGATATTTTATATAGAAAGCCTAAGGATTTCCCTAGAAAACTACCGTAGCTTATGAATGAATGAGTTCAGCGGGGTTGCAGGATACAAGATCATTATACGAAAATCAGTTGTATTTCTATACAGTTTTAATGAACAATCTAAAAGTGATATTAGGGAAACAATTCCATTTACAGTAACATCAAAAAGAATATAGTACATAGGAATAAATTTAACAAAAGAAGTGCAACACTGTGAAAACTATAAAACAGTGTTAAAAGACAAATAAATAGGAAAACATCCCCTATTCAATGATTGGAAGGCTTAATATTATTAAGATGGAAACACTCCATCAAATTGATATACAGATTCAACACAGTCCCTATTAGAATGTCAGCTTAATTTTGTTGATAATGATAGGAGATTCTAAAATTAATGTGGAATTGTAAGCGATTCAGAATAGCCAAAATAATTTTTTCAGTTTCAAAACTGGCTACAAAAACCAGTAGACAAGTCAGCGTGATGCTAACATAGTTATATAGGTTAGTGGAATAGAATTGAGGTCCCAGAAATAAACCTATACATCACTGGTCAACAGTTTTTCATTGAGGAAGCCAAGACTATTCAAAGGGAAAAGGAGTCATCTTTTCAAAATGGTGCTAGGGAGAAATGGATAACCACATGCAAAGTAAATAAATTGGACTTTTTCAAGATGTAAAACTTTTGTGCTTCATAGGACACTAATAAGAAAGTGAAAAGACTGTCCACAGAATGGGAGAAAATATTTGTAAATCACATATATGATAAAGGACTTTTGTCTAGAATATATAAAGAACTGTATGCATCAGTACAAAAAAATCAGTTGAAAAATGGGCAAATTATCAAAATAGATGTTTCTCTAAAGAAGGTATACAGATGGCCAGTGAGCCCATGAAAAGATGCTTGACTCATTAGTCATTAGGGAAATACAAATCAAAACTACAGTGAGAGAAATACATCCATATGATGGTCATAATCAAAGATAATAATGTGTTGGCAAGGATGTTAAATAGCCTGGCAATTCCTCCAAAGGTTTATAAACACAGAGTTACCATATCACCTAGCAATTCCACTGGTTAGGTATATGTCCAAGAGAAATGAACACACATGTCCACACAAAAGCTTATATATGAATATTCATAACAGGATTATTTATAATCGCCAAAAGGTGGAAACAACCAAGTATCTATCAACTGATGAGTGAGTAAACAAAATGTAGTGTATTCATACAGTAGAGTACTATCCATTCTTTAAAAAGACTGAAATGCTGAAACATGCTACAGCCTGGGTGAACCTTGCAAATATTATACCAGGTGAAAGAATCCAAATACAGCAGACTGTATTACATGACTCATTTATATGAGATTACCAGAATAGGCAGATCTGTAGAGACAAAGTGGATTCATGATTGCTTAGAGGTAGAGGGAATTCAGAAATAGGGAAGGGTGATAGGTAGCTAAAGGGTATGGATTGATTTTTGAGGTGATAAAAATGATCTAAAATTGGTGACAGTTGCAGATATGTGCAAACATAAAAGCCAGCATGTTGTATACTTTAGACAGCAGTGTAGATAGTTTACCTTTAGCAGAAGGACAGCGCATGTGGGTGCAGATATTGGCAGATGGGTAGGTGCAACAGAGGCAGCTTACAGTCTCTAACTTCCAAATCCTCACATCAACTCTTTGAGGTAGGCACTATCATTATCCCCACTTACAGATGAGCAAACAGAAGTTATATAAAATGATTTGAGTCCATTTCATATAGAGTACAGAAAGAAACCTGTTTTGGGGAGGTCAGTGCTGCTGTTGACATTTCCGATTGGTAATTGAAAAATCTTAGTTCAGGTTTCTTTATCTAAGGAAACAAAGATATGGTCTGAGACTCCCCTCCTCTCTCCACCCTGGTTTGTTTTTTTTTTTTTTTTTTTTTTTTTTTTTTGGCAAATACTTCTCTATTTTTAAAGCAGGTTTTCTTCCTAAAATAACCACAGAAAAGGCTAGAAAACTATCTGATACTATCAGGCCAATTATTGTCCTAAATTGCTGTTCTTGCTACAAAAACCAGTTTCTAAGAAGAGAAGAAATGCCCCTGCCATCCTTTCCTTCATGATATTCAGGGATCTGAATCTTTATTAGCTACTCTGCCATTATGGATTGTAGTCTGTCTCTAGTTACTAAGTCTACAGTTTCTGCTTAGGGAGTCCCAGCCCTACTGAGGGCTACTGCCCAATAATATTGCTAAGGAAAATTTCACTCGGTTTTAAATAAGCCTAAGGAAAGTTGTTGAGCACTAGTTAGATGAGTAAAGAAAAATATGCAGGATGACCTTTCTTGTGACTCAGTTTGCTTCTACCACAGGTGGGAGGAGGGTGTAATTGCTGAGGAACACACAGTATTGTTTTATGAAACATTGTGTATTTAAAATATATTTATATTAATATTGTCTGTAGGTCCTTTCCAGTCTCAGAAAAAGAACTTATTCCACAAAATTGTCAGCAAATATAAGCACAAAAAGGAGAAGCCTAATGTTCCGGAAAAAGGTATTGGTGCCTTCCATCCTCCATCAAGGTTTCTTGGCCACCTCCATTGTGAACCATCTTTGAGTAACGCTTCTGTGCACCGCCTTTGCCTTTTCCTCCCCTTAGCTTGCTTCAGTGTCATCAGCTCCTAATGCAGGCATATTCATTCTTTCTAGACTCTACAGCTAATTGTAAAGAGAGATCTCCTTCACTTGGGTTCCTACTCAAATCCCATAATGTCTCTATTTTCAGCGTTCCATATGAATCCTAAAATTGCTTTGTTTTCATCCATATTTGGTGCATTTTGTAACTTAGTCTTCTTGAGCTCTTATCTACTTATTTTTCTTTGACGCTTCTTGTTTTTCTCATGTTTGGCAGCCATCAAAGCAGGACCACATTTTGCTACCTCCTGAAGCCTTAAAAAAGTTCCCTATTCATATGAAAGTGCCACCATTTCTGTACTCTGACCCTTGAGGAGGATTCCACTCCTAAGTCGTAACCTATCTTTTTCCAATCTATATTACTTCGTTTGCCAGACCCTTCCCACCCCCTTCAGTCACATAACTTATTTCCAGAGGGCACTAGAGACGCATTGCCCTCCACCATCTCTTCACTCTGAGCATCTGTCTTATTGTTATGATTTTGATGGGCCCTTGAACCTCTTTAAGGCTCATCTGAAGATTTCTGCCTTCTCATAGTTCAGGACTCCTATTCTTCTTGGACACAAAAGATAAATGTTCCCATCTGGTTCGGTATAGCCACGTGGCCTGGAAGTTAGGCTTTCTTTAGCATCACCCTGCATGTTACTGTCGTGACTATGAGCCTACTCATCCGATGCCCATTTGCATTCTACTTGCATGGCCACATGTGAAGCCTTTTATGTTTCTGGAATGAGGCTTTCAATGCACCTGTCTTCATGTGTAGACATATGTGCCTACGTGTTCCTGTATGTAACCTTTTACTTAATTTGGGTTTTATTTTCACCTCACCAGCCTCTCAGTTTTGTTTTGTATGTTACTATTTTTTTCTCTGCTTCCAGTAGAGAAACATCACTTTTTAGGTAAAAATGTCAGCTCTTATCATTCCCTTTTAACTGATCTTCAGTTATCTTGATTAAAGTCATATAAATTATCCAACAGTGTGATTTCATAAAAGGCAGATTTGTTTATTTTTATTCCATTTCCTGTATAGCCTGATTATTTTAGTTGATACATGTTATTTTGAAAATTAAATAGTTAAAATAAAACTGCTTCATTCGTGTGATTATGTTTCCTATGTAAGCTCTTGAGTGTATTGTCGTGTTTTTATAGTGTATGTGTCTGTCCTGGGAGTAGAGTTTCACGTTCTTTCTCTGTCATTGTTTTTAGGAAGTGGGGATAAATGGTCAAACAAGCAACTCTTCTTGGATGCCATTCACCCTACAGAAGGTAAAAGAAGCAATACCCTTTGTATAATTTCAGGTAGTCTGTTTTGGAAACGTTTAAAAAGGCATAATTATATAGGCTCAGCCAACAGTACTATACCTGAGAGCTCATAATTGGGTTGTTTCACATTTTCAAATCAGAACTGACAGATTTTTGACCCTGCTAAGGGTCAGGCAGTGTGTCCTATGGAGCTTAATTTGTCAAGGAGGGGCACTTAAAACCTTTGGACCACATTCACCAGAAATTAGAGTTTCCTATAACTAAATATATTCAGTATTGTATTCATGTTGCAGGCAGATGCTTATGGGAGCCAGGATAGAGCCAGCATGGGGGTGTTCCTGGTTGGCTGGAACCAGGAATTTTGCCCAGCCCACCTCTCAGTACTTCTAAGTACTCCAGTGAGTGCTCATTTCTGTGGCATTTAAGTAACTGTCCTCTTCTTCCCATTGATTCCCCCCCTTTTTTTTTTCTTCCATTGTAGCCATTTTTAAGGAGCTGAATGTTTTGGTAGTGCTTAATTAGGAGTCGCTTCATTTGAAACCTAGAAGCAATCTTAGGGCCTGTTGAGTCTAATAACCTCTTTGATTTACTTATGACCAGAAAGGGGAACTTAATGAAGAAGTCCATGTCTCTTGATTCCCAGATACACTCTCATTCCTATCCTGAAAGGGAAAAAAAAATTAAAATGCACATTTGGCCTAAGTCATTTATCAAAAGCACTCTTACGTTAAAGATATTTCTCAAAAATATGCAAACTTGGCTTTATATCAAACATGAAGTTGTTTGTATTTGGTAGGCACAGTTCCCATGAGTCAGATGTCTGCTTTTATGTCCTTGCACTTTTACAAAAACTGCCAGCAGTATATCTGGTCTCTGACCTGTTACCTCACATTCACCACCTCTCCAGGGTATTGTTTGTGTTCCTAGCTGGCAAAGTCAAATGTGAATTGTTGTGCTGCTCTCAGCATTAAATGCTAACATCCAAAATGTGCTATATAATAGCTCCTGTGTGTTTTAAAGATATATTCCGGGAACACTTGGTAAATGTAAGGCACTGATGGACGATCAGAGGCATCTAAGAGGCACTTAAGACCATATTACTCTTTGCTTGGAATGACACTGTTCTAAATGTTTTGTTTTTTAAAGAATGAAAACTGTGTCTCATGTAGAACGTGGTGTCCTAGGACATGCAGTGTGGTAGAAAGAATGAATCAGGTTGGAAGCAGGAGACCTGGGTGTTAGTCTTACATTGGCCGCTACTGAGAGGTTTTTGTGGGACAGATTGTGTTTAACCTCACTAGGTTCACTCTCCGTATGGGTACCACGTGTGTGTGTGATGTGTGTGGTTAGGGCTGGGGTGAATGATGAGGGGTAGTAACACATCAACCTCAGATGTCCTTTCCCCTCTCCTACTCGCATTATTACCCTGGTATACAGTGGGTTGACGCAAGTTACCTTGTTCTGCAGCCCTAATTCTGCCCTATAGGGGGCAGAGAAGTAAATCAATTTCAGTTTTCTAGGCAGTCCCAAGGGTATAGTGGGAATAGAGTTATTATTGGTGATACTTAATTATATTTTTTATTAATGCATATGAATACATTATAAAGTTTGAAGAACATGCACTGAAAATTGCTTAGTGTGGAGTGCATATTCATTTTATATGGCCAGGAAAAAAGGAATCAGTTTGTGTATCAGAAATTACCAGTAATTTAAAGTGACCTTTTTGGGCTATTTATTTTCATACCATCCACTATATTTCCTTGTTCAGGTGGTGACTGTGTACTTTGTGAATTCTCTAGGCCCTTTACTTCCCCCTCTTTCACCTATGGCCAAATCGTTGCTTGTTAAAACTTTACCTTAGGAAAGTACAAATACTTAAGGACAGAAGATGAAACCGTTAATCAGGAGCATTTTAACATGTGTTAGCCATCCGAGGCCGCACTTAGACAGGAGTCGTTTGTAACTGATGTCTCTACTAGTTGATTCAACTGTGGCACGCAGCTGTGAGCTGTTCCTGATTTTGGGTGAGAGGAGATGACTTGAAGTTCACTCTGCTTCCTTGGCATCATGCTGAGTATAAATTTTTCCCCCCAAATTCATTTTTTTCCCAAAATATCAGAAATCTTTAGGTGCTTAGAAATCTCATCTGCAGTTTAAATGCTAAGCTTATCTGTTTTAAGCATTTTCCCTCTGCTTTTAAAATTCAAAATCACCAAACCATTTCTTGAAACTTTCAGATCATAAAAAAAGATTGCCTGTCAGCCTAGAATTAAAGGTTAACTTTTCAGATAAACCAAGATGCCTTGTATCCACCACTGTGTTTATCTTTCTACCAAATTATGGTGTCCTATGCTCATGCTTAAGCTGGAGGTTTCTAACTGTAATAATAATGATGATGATGATAATTAATACTTAATATTGCTGCGTAGTTTCCTGAGGGCTTTCACAATAGTTTTCATAAAACTAATCTTGGCAGGATCCCCAGTGAATTCAGGAGGGCTTATTAGCCCCAAATACATGATAAAGAAATGAAGCCTGACCAACATACATGGGAAAGGAAGAAACCAGCACTCTTTCCACTAAAGCACATCGGCTGCTTACAGTTTGGATTTTTCAGGCATATCTGAGCCCCTCATTTGGCTCAGATATTACAATTATAAGTGGCATCTTAAAAGGAAAAAAAATAAAACAACCCAAACCTTAGACTAAAAATCTCCAGATTAGTTCCCTTTGCAGTATATGAGTACAATTATAGGGGAGAGAAAGTATTTATGGTTAAATTTTCAAACATGATCCGCAACACTCAGGCGAACTTTCATCTCTTTTCTCAAGTTCGAAAGAGTTGCTATGTAACTCCAGCAAGGTCTCCTGGGATCTTAGATAAGGCTCATTCATTTGATTCTTTTTCCTGTGTTCCATTCAGCATCTGTACATTTTCAGCTCAAGGGAGGCCAACCAAAGGCAGTAAGATTCCAGATTTGGCTATAATAATTTCAGTGCAAGTTTGATCCCCCTCGTTGGAATGTGAATTCATGACTCTGGAGCACTCTGGTGGACCCCTGGGGTTCAGTACAAGCACAGTGCTGCTATCTCAAAAAATTTACCCCACATTTTGGGAGCAGAGTTTGGAAAATAAGACAGTCTCTTATTGCCACATTCCTAATATTGCTCCAGGAGTGAACTCACATTATCTCTCTCAGATGATACGCTCCAAGTGTGTTATGATTATCGTGGAGTGTAAAACCTAGCCCTGTGGACTTGTTTTGCAGTGCTTGGGTAGGTTTGTGTGTTCGATTACAAGCCGAAATAGAAATGACTAATTTGTTTTTAGAGGACAAAAGCCTTTCTTTTCTCACATTTCCATTAGTTTGGCAGAAAGGACAAAAAAGGAACTGGCTTGCTGTTCCTTGGTGCTCAGCTTCAGGCTGTTTTTTTCTCTGAGCCTTTTCCATTTCCTGCCTCTCACCATCAGGCCTCCCTTTGCTTTGCTCACATTGCTGGACTCAGATCTACTGTCATGTCCTGTACAACCACTTCTTTGACTTAGCCTTACCTGCCTTCCCCAATTCTTCGAAGGGTAGGGTTTTTTCTGAGTGCTGACCCTGAGGGGCATCATTGGTCTTGGCCTCCAGGCAGCATAGGATGTTCTGCGGGTAGGTAGCTCCTGGGTCAAAGCATGGAGCAGACTCACTCTTATTTCCTTTTCCAAATTCTAACAATATCTCATTACATACTTCTTCAAATGTGGACGATCTGCAGACCCCATGATTATTTCTTCATCTGGCATTAAGTTTAGAAGAGACAATATCTAGGAAGGTGATATTGCCTCCTGTTTGGGGGATTTTTGAGAATCTTAGATGTATTCTCACATTTTGCCTCTTCCAGTCAATCTGCAACCTGATTCACTCCTTTTCTGCCTCCCAGTACACCAATCTCTGGGTCTTGATTGCTGGTGTCTCCCGGACAGTATGCCTTCAGCCCCATGGTGCCTTTTCTGCTGGTTTCTGAGCTTCCCCTAGTCCCAGTCTGCTTTTAGACCTCAACTCTACCTCCCATTTGCAGTCCCTTTGCAGCCATCCCCTCGGCTTCTTACTGTGTTTTTACCAATTCATCCAGAGCACACAGGAAACGGAGCAACTACTGAAAAGAAATGAAACCGTTTGAAGACTTAGTAAAAGCAAGAAAACTAACTGTTCTGATCAAGGGAGTACTCTGGAACTGGCTGCAGGCTGGCTAGGCTCCTGATTCTGGGCTATGTGGCAAATGGAAAGAATGTGGGGGATGATGGCTCCTTCAGAGTTCATCTAGTACAGCCTCCATTGTTATGTGAAGAAACTGAGAGCTGTGGTCCTGCTGTTAATAAATAAAAAATCAAGAGTAGAATCCAAGTCTTGTGTAGAAATTAGCTCATCTTTTCCTAAACCACTTGGTCTTTTCTTTGACCTTCTGGGTTCCTTCTTTCTGTTAGCAATTCTTATGATATAATATGTTGTTCATCTTTGGAACCCTGCTACACCCTTATTTCAGCAAGTTCTAGATTTTCCTAGGAAGGAGAAGGAGAAAAAGGAAGAGATAAGTGCTTTTTCTGGAAGGGCCATCTGTAGTGTTGTGATCATACTGGAGAGGTGATTAAGATCCCCCCTCCCCCCCAATCAGAAGGGACAACTGATGAGGCTCGGTAAGAAACTGGAAATTTTGAAGCTTGTGAATACCTACTAGAGGCTATTTATGTTCATCGTAAACTCAGATTTTAGCTTCTTTATATCTATAGAAGGCTTTGAATTTCAAGGCTAATGAAGAGTCATAGAGTATTTCTTCTTTGGAGTATTCTAACCAAATTATCTTTTATTTTGCTGGCAGCTTTTATTGAAGTTTAAACTAAAAAAAAAGAAAAAAGAAAAAAACCTTAAGATACATACCAGCACTGGTCTATGTTAAGCTAAATATCAAAGTATAAATACACCAAGACTGTTTCCTGGGTACAGATCTATAATTTAGAAGGAGGCTTTTTCCTAATTTTTGATTACTTGCTTGAGAAGATATTTGGGAGCAATGCCAAATAGTTTCTTTGTAATAACTATTATCTTAAGCCAATTCCCCACATAGCCATCTATTATGCTATATTGAGGTAAGGCCAGGCCACAAATCATGGTATGATTTCTGCCTTACATCCTTTCTTTTGCTGTAATGGAAATGGTTCCCACTTGTTTTGGAGTGGGAAACCTGGAATCAATCTATTGAGGGCAAAGATCTTACAAATTCATACCCCTCCTTTCTCTAGGATGTAACTAACCTCATTAAAGATCTAGATGAAAATTGTTAAGTGAAGCCTATCCAAGTGTTTATGCCAACATGTGCATTTTTTCACACTCTGAGTCATTCTCGTTCTGCTCTCTCCCTCTTTTAGCTTTCTTTCCGTCCTGTGCTATACATACTGTTGTATTTCCAAGGTCTTCCTTCAGCTCCATCTCCTGACCAGCACCTTCAGTTCTCCTCCAGCTCAGTTACACCAAGCGTGTCATGTCAGACCTTGACTTCCAGCGCCACACTCCCCTCGTTGTCAGAAACTGTTTTTGTGCCTGTCTTAAGAGATTGGATGGCTTTAAAATGGAAAGATGTCTCCCTTCCCTGCCTACATGCCCTTAGACCAATGGAATAAAAAACTGCTCCAATCGCTAAACTGGACTACATGTATATATTCTTAAATGCTTACTGTTCTCCTATATACATATACTTGTCTTTTATTTGTTGTTTTTTTTTTTTTAAGTTTATTTAGAGAGACAGATCGCGTAAGTGAAGGAAAGTCAGAGAGATGACAGAGTCCCAAGCAGGCTCCATGCCACCAGTACAGAGCCTGACATGGGGCTTGAACTCACAAACCAAGAGTTGAGCCACCCAGCTGCCCCTACTTGTCTTACTTTTAAATTGGGGTGAGGATACTGAACTCCTAAAGAAAAGAGAACGTAAGAAACAATACAAGCATCCCCAGCCTTTCTGAGCTGGGAGCAAGGTCTTGCGTAGCAAGTGTGCTTTCTACTACTCTTGACATGGTGATTCTTAGGATACAAGTGTGTGCTGTTGAGTGATTTACTGGTATTACAATTAGAATCTGGAGAAGCTAAAACAAACCTTTCCAGGAGCCCTGCTGACCTGTGGTACGTCGTTAAATTATCTCACTAAGCACTTTCCCTGCTTCTAGAATTCAGTGATGGAGAGTGTTTCATTACGTACTAGCATCACCAGTGCCTGTCAGGTCCACACTGGGCAGTCAGTTTGAGTAAAAGAAGGTCAGCCCTTGCAAACAATTTCTTTTCTGATCAGTCCAACCCGGTGATGGAAAGCAAATGTCCCAATGATAACTGTAAGTTTAAGAAGCACATATCTGGGGAGCCTGAGTGGCTCAGTCAGCTAAGCGTCTGACTCTTGATTTCGGCTCAGGTCATGATCTCATGGTTTGTGGGATCAAGCCCCTTGTCTGGTTCTGCACTGACAGTGCAGATCCTGCTTGGGATTCTCTCCCCACCCCTCCCTGACTTTTTCTCCCTCAAAATAAATAAATAAACTTTAAAAAAGAAGAAGAAGAAGAAGCACATATTTAATTAATCTCAGTGTCCTCAGAAGAAGAGAAACTTGTTTTATCATCTTCTCCAGACTAGATGGCCAAGGGGATCTCGAATAGGAACCGCGACCACAAATTCACTCAGATTTGTATATGCTGTCTTTCCCACCAACATGCAAGATCCAAACACTTAGAAAATGTTGCTCTGATGGCCTCTTGGTTCAGTATTCTGTTAAAAGAGAGAGAGGGCTTCTTAATCCTCTGTACTTAACTTATCAAAGCAAATATAAATAAGTATATTGGTTGAAAATCATGGGCAGTGTTTTATTTTTCTCATCAGTACTTTGAAAATTCTTAGGTTCTCCATTCAGATAGCTCAGACATTGAGAAATGTTTCTTTCCAAGAGCAATGTCTATGTCTTGTGTTTTTGTGTGTAATCGTCTATGATCTGTCTGTCCTATTTCAGCCATATTTTCAGAAGACAAAAACACCACAGAGCCTGCTCATAAGGTTAAAAATGCCCTATCCATTCCCAACACTCCAGAGCCAACAACAACTCAAGAACCCTTGGTGGGCAGCCAAAAGAGAAAAGCAAGGAAGACCAAGATCACACACCTTGTCAGGACAGCAGATGGCCGGGTATCACCAGCAGGAGGTACTCTGGGTAAGAAGAGGGAGCCTTAAATGAGAGATAATCAGAGCATGCCGGTGACTATCGTGGCCACATGGGCCAGCAAATGACGTTAAGCCAAGTATGGGTCCTATTGAAAAATGGGTCTGTTCTGTGGGTTTGGTCATAGTAACGTTTTCTTTCTCTGGATCTCCTTGAGAGCTGGTTTTCCACAGACTCCCAAAAGTACAAAATGTGCACATTTTAAAATCATAGCTCTTTTTCCAAGAGCGTTCTTAGAAAAGAAAGGTAATTTTTAGGACTGTGTGTTTCTTCTTCTCTTTCTCAGCATGCTCAAAAATAGTCTTCATTAAGTAAATTCCCAGAGATCCTAGACTTTTAAAAATACTAGCTGAATCAGTGTTTCTTCATGGTTCATTGTTCAAGTCATTACAAACCATATTATCAAGTATTCAACCAATGGATTCAGGAACGTTAGAAAACATCCAGTCCTTCCTCTAAAGCTAATTCAGACCACTGAGAGAATGTGAGAATGCTCCTGGATTTCTTGAGTTCTCTGGGCTACTCTTTAACCAGATCTGAACTTATGGTGAATTTCTCCATTTTCATTCACGGCCTGTGGTCTTTTGCTGTTCCTGGTGGCCTCCATGGCAGCAGAATTGCCAGAGGGACCCAAGTTAAGGAATGGAGTCAGAAAGTGACACTGAGCACCCCCCTCAGATCTCAGGGTGTTAAACAAACTAAGCATTAGTGATCTTATGCCTTTTTCTGCCTTTAAGCACCCCCAGCATCTCATTCTGTCAGCTTTGAAGTATCCCTCTCCCTTCCCTAATCCAGTTTCCAGGAAAAGGTCACAGGTCCATAATGACTTCTATAAATAGAAAAAATTGTTTAGAAGGGATGCTGTATTTTGTCAAATGCTTTTTCTGCATCTATTGACAGGATCATATGGTTTTTATCTTTTCTTTTATTGATATGATGGATCACATTGATTGATTTGCGAATGTTGAACCAGCCCTGTAACCCAGGAATGAATCCCACTTGATCTTGGTGGATGATTCTTTTGATATGCTGCTGGATTCGATTTGCAAGGATCTTGTTGAGAATTTTTGCATCCGTATTCATCAAGGATATTGGCCTATAGTTCTCTTTTTTTGTTGGATCTCTGTCTGGCTAGAAAAAATTGTTTAGAGCAAAGGAAAAAGAAGAGTGAAAGACAAACCAAGAAACCGACTCTTAACTATAAAGAACAGACTGGTGGTTACCAGAGGGAGGGAGGTGGTGGTGGGGGGTTGAAATAGGTGATGGAGAGTATAGAGTACATTTATCATGGTAAAAAAGTAATAAAATTTCTAAAAAATGTTTAAATGAGTATTTTTTGAGAGTAATATTTATAAATACCCGGTTAAGGTTATGTAATTGCAAATAAAGATTCATTGCTGAAATAGAATAGGGGAACAGCTAGTGAATTTTGTGCACATTTTCTTGTGTTTAGCTGTGTAGATTGTTATGACAGTAATGCACATTAAATACTCCCATTTTACCCTGTTAAATAAGACATGAAGACCAACGATGTAGGGTTTGGTATTTGAATGCATTGGACGACTTAGGCAGAAGTAAGATGAGGCCTAGAATCTACTTTTCCTGATATTTAGGTCTAGCAGGCCCCTCCCCCTTCCCTTTTCACTTTGGGTTCTGTTCTGTGATTTTTTTTTTTTTAATGTTTGTTTATTTTTGAGAGAGAACACACATGCAGGCAGGAAAGAGGCAGATAGGGAGACACAGACTCTAAAGCAGGCTCCAGGTTCTGAGCTGTCAACACAGAGCCTGATGTGGGGCTCAAGCCCATGAACCCTGAGATCATGACCTGAGCCCAAGTAGGATGCTTAACTGACTGAGCCACCCAGGCATCCCTGTGATTTTGATTTTATAAGTTGTTGTAGCCTCATTTTCACTTACAGAAAGAATGAAAGAACTTAGAAAGTATTACCTTCATGTAGAAAAGCACATAGCACTCCCATGTTCTAGTATATGACATTTACATTCTTTATCGATGGCTTTCTATTTTTAAAATGTTTTAAAAACCGTGGTAAAGATTCCTCCTCCTTCACAATGGCCATGTAATCCAGAAAGTGTACTCCTTTCCCACAGGTATATTTTCTTAGCATTTTAGCACCTCTTTGTAAATACCAGAGAGCCTTTTGTCTTCCTTCCAGTAGGTCTTCAGAACATAGATAACAACTTGGAATCTCACTGGGATTAGTTTAGAGTTGGCAGTCCTAAATGTTGGTGTTACAGCACACCCAATGTCCCAAGTTGCTCTAGCACGGCATCCTACGGCCTCATGAGAAATGTTTGTCTACTTGGGTTTTAGGGGCTTTGTACAGCATCCATAGACCCCTTTGCAGAAGTCCCATCAGTTGTATTTCATCCAAAGCCCCTTTTTCGCTCTCGCTCTGGGACTGACCTGTTCTTTGACCATGGATAAAACACAGCTTCTCTTCCACCCAGCTTCAGGGCATAGCACTGCCCATAGTTGCAATTGAGCTTAATAAAAGAGTTTTATTACCACGGGAGCAGAAAATCCTTGATAAATGCCTCAGTATTCAATGGATGACAAAAGTGAACAAAGAATATTAGCTCATTTTACATTGTCTGCACAGAGTTTTCTGTGTTCCTTCTCTTGAGAGAACATGGTGATCCTCTTGTGATGAATTTCCCTTTCATTGCAGATGACAAACCAAAGGAACAACTGCAGAGGAATCTCCCTAAAGTGACTGAGTCCGGCTGCACTGAAGACTGCTCACACAACACCGAGGCTGCGCAGACGCGGAGCAGCACTCCGGAGATGCCAGCTGTGTCTGCGTTCTTCAGTCTCGCCGCGCTGGCTGAAGTGGCCGCCATGGAGAATGTGCACAGGTGAGTGGTGTGCTCCCCCAGGATTTGGGGGGTCCTGTTCACCCGCACCCCCAGGCACAGAACAGGGATGCAGAGAGCAATGTGGAAGCCAGATCAGTCTCTCCAGCATGGTTTGTGGTCTTTTTCACAGTGCATAGGGGTTCATGAGATTTGGTTCGAGAGCAAGTTATGTGACATGTTACAAAAACATATGTCCTAATTAGCAGTGTGGGAAAATATAAGGAAATATAGTCAGCCAAGTATTGCATTCTGAATATATTACTCTGTGGCTAAACTTCATTTTCATAAAAAACCTGAGAGAGCAGAGAAGCAATATTCCCTAATCATGAAGTGTGCGCTTTGAAGTCAGGCTTCAGAGCTAGGTTTGAGCTCTATATCCATCTCCTGTAAACTGCAAGTTCTTGAGCAATATCGATCATTCACCTCTCCATCCTTCATTTTTTCTTCTATAAAATGGGTGTAAGTGACACTTATTTCATAGAGATGTTATGTGGAATGAACTAATGTCCCAGTGCTGGCACATGGTAAACACCCCCGTTGACGATGGTGTTGGCAGCAGTGGTGATGGTAGTGGAGGAAAACTGTGGTCAGAAAAAGCATCTTCGCATCTGACTCATGGACAGCAAAAGGTCTGGAATTTTCCTTAACTGCATTTTGCTACAAAGTCTTTCATTTCTCTCAGCCTCGGTTTTCTCATCTTCCGTGGAGAGGTATGATATTCCCAAAGAATCACAAAGTTGTAAGGATCACATGAGATCATAAATCTGAAAGCCTTTGGAATTCCATAAAGCCTCAACAAAAAGTATACTAAGTTCTAAGTGTATAATTGTGTATTCTGATTTTTAATGGATCCTTTGGGAAAGCAAAAAAAAGCCATTTGTAAATTTGGGCATTTCGTATTTTATTCAAAGTGGATTATCCACAGGTGAGCTCCTTTCCCAGACTTCAGTCTTCAGTACAAAAGTTTTAAATCTAGGGGTGCCTGGGTGGCTCAGTTGATTAAGCGTCCAACTTCAGCTCAGGTCATGATTTCGCAGTTTGTGGGTTTGAGCCCCACATCGGGCTCTGTGCTGACAGCCAGCTCAGAACCTGGAGTCTGCTTCAGATTCTGTGTCTCCCTCTCTCTCTGACCCTACCCTGTTTACGCTGTCTCTCTCTCTCTCTCTCTCTCTCTCTCTCTCTCTCTCTCTCTCTCTCTCTCTGTCTCTCTCTCAGAAATTTAAAATAAATTTATCTATCTATCTAGCACAACTTCCATACCCCCCTGTTGGGCTTCACTGTCGCTTTCCACATCCAGGTTCAGGAGGCTCCTTACCTGTCATATTACAGTTCTAGTGCTTCCTCACAAATAGCTTATAGATAGTTTAAGAAGTCAAATTCCTTTTCACGTGTATACTACAAGTGCCTAATAGCAAGAGAATGCTGTCACACCTTGTTAAAATCTGCTCAAGTCTCCAAAGGCGGTCATGCACAGATAATTCTCCACTCGTGGAGTTTTACAGTCGAGTACAGAGCACAGACTCCTGTGCATGTGAGAAGAATGAAATACACCCCTGCATGTTACTGAGTGTCCCCATAAATTTTGGAAATAAGAGGCAGTGTAAGAATTCGGAGAGGATTGGGACACCTGGGTGGCTCAGTCGGTTAAATGTCTGACTTCGACTCAGGTCATGATCTCGCGGTTCGTGGGTTAGAGCGCCGCATCAGGTTCTGTGCTGACACACCTCAGTCTGGAGCCTGTTTCAGATTTTATGTCTCCCTCTTTCTGCCCCTCCCCTACTTGTGTTCTGTCTTCCTCTGTCTCAAAAAAAAAAAAAAAGAATTCAGAGAGGATCATAATACACGACTCAGGATAGTCTAGCACCCAGTCACCCTTGCTGCTGCCAGCATCCCCTTCCAGACATGACTGGCTCTGTGAACCAACCTTCCGTGACTTCCAGGTCGCAACAGCAGAAAGCCTCAGCAAACCTCCCCACTCTCCTCTCCGCCCCCCCTCCTCCCTGCCCTGCAATCGCGTGGGACCCCTTGCTGCCACCTGGATAAGCCAAGTTCTTCCTGTGCTCCCCTCCTCAGGCAAACTCCTGGCCCTCCTTCCATCGCTAGTCCCGTTTTCTGCTCTCCGTCTTCCTCCCGAAGTCCCTGAATGCTTTCTGTGCATGATCTCTGAGACCAGGGGCCACACCTGTAATTATTCCCTGATACATCTCTTTCCAGTGAACCTGAAAGCAGAGCACTGGTTTTACTCCTCACATCCCCAGCTCCCTTAGTTCCTGCTACATCAATGGATGAATGAAAAAATGAATGGGTGGATGAATAGATGAGATGTTCTTAAAGTATGACCACCTACATTCACTAGCAGGCATAGAGAAAATGGTGTAAGCAGAGATTCTTTTTTTTAATCTCTCATTAGAAAGAACAGTATTGCATACTAGAATCTTACTATCAGTCTCCTAAATGGATAGTGTTCTTAATGTCTAGAAGAACAGATCCCCCTCAAGAGCCCTTATCTGTTAAAGCAGAGCTGGCGACTGCCATCTATCTGCAGGCTTAATGTACCTTTACCTGGGTTGCACATCCATTAACTATACTTTCGCGTCACCTAGGTTCATAATTTAGAAATGATCAGCAGAGTTAGGGGTAGAAACATATCACTTGCTTCTTGCCAGGAGAAATTATAACGTTAGGTTCAGAAACTCCACACAGAGAGTCAGTTCTGCAAAATGCAGGAAATAGGAAGTTGGAATAAACCTTTGCCGAAAGCCTATTTGCTTACTAGGACTTTCATAAGGGGAAAGCTCATTAAACTGAGTCCTAAAATGAGCCCTGCCGGGTGGGTATTCTGATCCCTTTTTAACGATATCACATATCGCAGACGATTAACTTGCTACAAAGAACACACAGCTAACCTGAGTTAAGATTTGAACTAAGGTCTCTGAACTCCCATGTCTTTGCCTTTGCTCAAACATGCTGCTTAAGCAATCATCTGTCACATCCTAGAAAGTCCCGAAGAATCTCGCTGACCTTTCCGCTGGGAACGGCAGCATCCATTAGTTGTAGCCACAACGGGCTCCCCCTCTCTTGCTTTTTTCTGTGATTAAGCTGGACTTTCAACCCAATTGCTCTCTGTCCCTGTTGCTCTTTTTTTTATACTGTACTTTTCATCTTTCACTTTTTTTCCCTTTTTTCAAGACTTAATTAAAATTCTTTCAGCTTTCAGTCTTAAGGGTAAAAAAATAACATTTTAATTTCATCTTTTCTTGAACAAAGGGTTGAACATATTGAACAGTTGGTGCTTACAACATCCCCACATGAATGAACAGATTAATCCAGAGGTTTGATTATAGCACATGTTTTGTTTTTCTAAAATCCTAATATCTTAGGCTAAGTGATTATTGGATTCTGAAATCCCCAAATGTTGTAATTCATCTACGTTATTTGTGTGTGTGTGTGTGTGTGTGTGTGTGTGTGTGTGTGTGTGTGTGTGCATCAAGAGAAAGAAACTCGGATATAGTTATAAGAAAGGTATGATTTGAATTTTTAAATGGCTGCTTTTGCTCTGTGTACTCTGAAGAAGATACGATGTGGCTTCGAGGGTCAAACCCCCGGAAGCCTTGCTCTGCCTCACAGATTTTCAGCACATTACTGTGCAGACTGCTGTGGGCCTGAGCAGTGAGCGCACCCTGTCAGCTCTTTGGTAGCCTGCTGAGGAATGTCAGGGAGGTGCTGAAACCCATCTTTTTAGAATGAGAAGCTCTGTAGAAATTAACCAAGAATTTGAAGACTTTTTTAAATAATTGTGAAGTAAGTTTTTTCCTACTCATGAAACAAAATCAGAATAAAAATCAGCTAAGTTTGGTATAGTTTGATCCAAATGATGGTTACTTCTGTGAATTTTCTGGTCTTGTCTCAAGTTCTCTCTCCGCATGTGTTGATTTGGCCCAAATTGCCCAGGTTTTCTCAGACTCTAAAGATCAGTGATCAGTCCTGCCTGTCTTCTTTCCCTGCACACTTGCTCTCCATGTGCCTGTGAGACTTCTTTAGTCAGGGAGGGTTTCAGTGTTTTCGTTCATTTGTGTTAGTCACAGGGCCTCTGGTCTCCGGCCATTGCTTTAATTATACTCAAGTTTTAAACTGGGTTTATTAGGGGCACCTGGGTGGCTTAGTCAGTTAAGCGTCTGACTCTGGGTTTCATCTCAGGTCATGATCTCACAACTCGTGAGTTCGACCTCCACATCAGGCTCTGTGCTAACAGGGCGGAGCCTGCTTGGGATTCTCTGTCTCCCTCCCCCTCGTCTCTCCCAAAAATGAATAAACATTTAAATAAAGAAATAAATTGGGTTTATTATTATATGTCTTAGGAAATGAGCCTGGAGGTTATCAGTTAGTATAGGAGAATTTTCCCCTTGGGCAGCTCGAGGAAAGGAACGGGTCCTGTTTTAATATCAGTGAATCAAGAGAAAGGACTGTGGTCTTACAACCACTGCCCTTGACTGAAAGTTTCCCACTTCTTAGGGACTTGCCCTGAATCTGTTGGTGCTTCAGATTTCATCTCTGCAAAAGCAGATGGTTGTTTGGGGCACATTGTGTTGCTGAGTCATGTAAGGTGAACTAAGAAGTTTATTTAAAAAAAAAAAAAAGCCACTCACTGTTCTAATTAAATAGCGTCAGTAACAAATCAGCATTAACTATTAAACAAGATATTGGAAAGCTCTTATTGGTTTCTCATCACCCTCTCCTGTGTCTGATAACCTACTCTAAGTGGGTGATTTGTTTTGTTCTTCCTCTTGTTTTGCAGAGGTCAGAGGTCCACCCCGCTCACCCACGATGGACAGCCAAAAGAAATGCCACAGGCTCCTGTACTTATTTCCTGCGCTGACCAGTGAAGCGCCCTTTAATTGTAAAACATTGTGCTTTACCTACTACCCTAGCCTTGTCTTTACCGAGGGATGCTAGTGAGTCCATGTGGTGGAAAATACAGACTGCAAACAAGTGCTTGTTGCCCTACACGGCCCAGATTCACTTGAAGCAGAAGTTAGCATCCTGGGCCAGTTTGTTCTTTTGGAACCCAGAGTCTTTGAGGGTGAGGTTATCTGTCTGATAATGAGCAGAAACGGAATGATCCTGGAGCTTTGCTTTCTATTGAAGGCTTTTGACGGTAACAGGTGGTAACTTGGTAAAAGGCTGCCTTTACTGTAGCTCATCCAAGCATCTCTTTTACCAACCAGAGAGTGTGAAACTAGTTTCGTATATTATCTAGTTATTCTTTAAAAACAAAAACAAAAAAAACAAAAAAACAAAAACAAAAAAAACTGACGCACTGCACTAGTTATTATTAGATATTCTTAGTCTTTTTTGTACATGGAGATTTAAGTTCTAAGATGGTTTATATAATAGGTTATACCTACATTTATATTGTAGAATAATATGAAAAAGCCTGTTCCAGAGACCCCCAAGCAGCACGGGCAGGCACATGTACCATTGTTAGCGGTGTATGCTCGGCCTCGTGGTCCATATATTCTGCACTTTTATATTTGCCACCAGAGTGGTAGTTTGCTGGCAAAAATGAAAAGAGAGAGAGAAAGAGAAAAAAATTACAATTCTTAACAAGCTGAGTTTTTTTCTTAGCCTTGAGTGACCAAGAAGAATTTGCTTGGGGCAAATTGTGGCAAATATTTTCCCAGACAGGGGAAGAGTCCTACAGATTACAGATTACTGATGTTTTCATGCCTTGAGGATTCTTTTATTTTTACACAGGGGTCTCCGTGACCAATGGATCGTTCATACAGACAAACAAAAAAAGAAAAATATTATTCAGAAGTGACCTTAGTATTACTTCACTATCCTAAACACATTGAAGACACTTACTTCATGTGGACTTTGAGCTACAGACATTTTACATCCATCCCAGACAGACTGGACGGGTAGCAATTGCTATGCACAGCCTAAGTGGCGCTGCAGGTTTTTAGAGCCATTTTGAGTTGGTGTTGTCAAGGAGGTGTTGAATAAATGCCGAGGGAGGGATGCCTGACCAGAGTAGGATTCTTGGTCATTGATCCACCTGCAAGTTTGTTTCCTTTTTGTGTTTTGTTGCTTTCGAACATAAAACCAACCACACACATGCCAGTGCCAAGTGGATTACCTGGCTTATCAGAACATTCGACATACTGACTTAACCACCTGACATTCAGTGTCTTGTTTCCTAGCAACACATGCAAAGTGATAAATCAAAATTAGTCGGAGGCTACCGATTTTACAGGGTATTTGTTCCGTAGCACAAGTAGATCCCCACTCTTGCATCACAGCACAAACTACCAAATTTTAATTATTGGATTCCAGCAATAATTTTTATTGGTTTTCAAACTGGTGGAATTTTGATAGCGTTAGTTCGAGTTTGAAGCTTTTGAATTAGATCTCTAAATGGTGACAGTTTACAAGGTTTTATCTAGCTTTCTTATTTATACTTGACTGAATTGTAATGATGACTTTTTTTTTCTAATCGTAATCTGACCTAATAGCCATACAAAAAATGACTCTCTTAGTACTGACTAGGTTTAGCTTTTCATAGTTGTAGATATTACTTCAGTTTCGGTGCTGGAAAATATGTACAACATACTAACAGAATTGGAAAGAATATAGAGATTTCTTTGGGTTGTTTTTTCCTTCAAAGCAGGTAAAGATGGCAGCAGAGCATTGGAATGGTGTCCTCAAAAATGCATAATCATTGTGGCATGGAGGAAGAAGGATTTAGAAAGCTAGGTTAGTCCGAGGTTAAAGCTTAACCCCATTCACGTAGAAATAAATCAGGTGAGCAGCCCCAGATTTTAACATAATATTTTTACTATGATGCTGTTTTATTAATATTTTCTAAATTTCAAAACACAAAGTTAATGTTTGAAAATTGCTGGGTCCCAATGTTGGTGGCTGTTGGGAGTTTTTGGACCACTTGCTAGCAGTGATTTAAAAATTATAATTAGCTAAAAATACACAAACAAAAACAAAACAAAAAACCAATGACAAATTGTTTGGTGCAGAACATGCACCTTGACAATGGTACTAACTTGTTATTCTCTAGAACACATTAGAATAGATCTATTTTTGCCAGAGCACCGTCCTTCAATCCTCCAGTTACATTTCACTAGATTTCCTTAAGAGATTGCTGTATATTCATGGGACCTTTTTTAAAAAGAAGCAAAACAAAAGATTACTTTTTTCTATGTGATTAATATCTTACTTGATCTGCTTTTCCTAAACCTCAGTGGCTTTTCCCTTAGGCAGGGGTGGGGTGGGAGGGCGACCTACTGGATATGACTGTTTTCAGATACTTTAAAAAAAAACCTTTTTGTAGAAATGCTTAATTTTTAAGCGGTTAGGCACTGAGAGTAGCAGAAATCCTGCAAAGCTTTATAGTCCTTTAGACACTCGCCTTGTTGTTTCTCTGAGTGAAGTCTTGATTTCAATACTAGTGCTTTTCTCATGCCCTGAATCCGCTGGTGAGGGGTGATGGCATTTTCAGGTAACAACATTTGTTAGCACAGATATTCCCGACCAACATGTAGTGAAACCCTCATCTACCATTTTCATTTCATTTCTCTTATTTTTTTATATTTTGGAAAATCATAATTGCTATGGTGTGTACCTTAATCTGCCAGCATACACCATTGACACTAACATTGTCCCACAAGCATCCTCAAGAGAAGAAGTTCTTGCACCTTATGTATATCTCAAGCAAACCAAAATACGATGCCTGCTTTGTTTTATTCTAAATTGTTGTATCATATCTTTCTGAAAAACCATTCTGAATCTAGTTGAAATTATCAATATTTATGCTTTTAACCTTAATTTCTGGATTCAAACCTGTATATAAATCTTTTGAAAAAAATTGTCCTAGCCCTTCTCTGTGATGCCGAAGTGGATGATTTAGTCTCAGATGGAGACGCAGTACTGTTCCAGTTTTCTTTAGCCTTTTATTTATTTAGTTACTCTGGGTATTTTCCTATGTAATTTTGAAGTGTGTAGAGTATATTATAGTAACTGAAGCTGCAGCTCTAAGAAGCTGAGTGAAAGAAAAAAAATACTGTAAGACATCCTTTTTAAGTTTGTATCTGTTTGGATAACTGTAAGGAGATCAGGAAGAGGAAAAAAATGTCCCACAGCCACGTTGACGATACAGGTTGTCATCCCCAGATTAGGCTAGTTCCCAGATTTTAGATCAAAATGTAATTCATCAAAGCCCTTTTATAAGGATAAATCATACTGGTGTGATTCTGACAGTCTTTTTCCCACAAATACCAGAGCTATGTTTATTTAATTCTGTCAGATGAGCTTTCTCCCAATGCCATCTCAAAGCCATGCTGAAATCATTCCCGTATCATCACTGATTCTAGTTCCTGCGATGGAACACTCCAAACACAAAGGAGCATCTGAACTGGTCTGGTTATTTATATTCCAACATGTTTATTCCCCGTCACTTTCTTAGCAAGCGAGACGCTACTCCGCCTAAGTCATTTCATAAAATTTTGTTTGCACTCTGCAGTCTTCGGCTCATCGTATGGAAAAGTTTGCACCTATGTAAAATCGCAGGCAAATTATAAATTGATCCAGAACCAGGAGTAAGCTGGAAGCTGAATGACACGTTTTGTTTATACAGTGTGGGAGGGAGGGATGGAGGGTGTCGAATAGCTCTGTTCCAAGTTTGGCGTTTGGCATTAATGTGAAGCAGTGGGACCATGCTGCCTGCTAAACTACTGTATGAATCCCAAGCGTTCTGGAGACCAGCAGCTGGAGGCTGGAGGCCGGAGGCCAGCATCCACCCAGCAGAGGAGAAGTGCCGCGGCCTCGCTGGGGAGAAGGCAGGAAGTCCCGCCAGGCCTGGAATCAGCGTTGTAAAGGGAAAGTCGGGGTGTCCATGATGCTGTTGAGGAGACTCACCTTTGATTGCACTGCTCCACAGAGCCCTCACATAAGGCCAATTCCAGTGGGCTACCTCGGCTTTAAAAGTTAATTTCAGTAAGTCCTGTTTGAGAGGTCTTTTTTTGCTTCTACCTTCAGTGCCACTGTTTCCCACTGCAGTGTTTTGACTTCCCAAACCACCTTCTCCAGAGAGAACAATGTATTGCTGAAAATGGGCAGCAGAAGCAAATGCCGTTACTACATTTGACCTATAAAGTATTCAGAGTGACTGCTAGGTGGAAATGAAAAGTTAGCTCTCCCCACATAGAACCTTGTTTTGCACCTTATAAAGAGTGTACTAATTGTTAATTAGATGTTGCTTTTATTTATACAAGCATTCCCAAAGAGTTAGATTTGAATTTTGTTCTTACTTGAGTTTTGGGGATTTTTAAAAATCTTATTTAGATTGACTAACATCATACTCACCTTAAGAAACAAGTTGTTCAGTTTATCTTACCAGATATGTCTGGTGAAGTATTCAGGGTTTGATGGCCTGCTTTGCTTTAGTTTGGAAGTGATAGCTAATTTTATTATGCTCCATATTAAATCACCTTGTCCTTTTCACTGGGGACAGTATTTTCTTTACATTTCGGATCAAAGAAGTGACAACAAAAATAGTGAACAACAAGACAAGTATATTTGGCTCCCCTGATACAGCTCCATCTGTGCTATGCTTTCCTTAAAAATATGGATACACGTTTTCTTCACACACAAAAATACGAGTTTCCTCTCCTGGCCAAATTGTATTTGCGATGGTAGGATTCAGACTAGTAAGTTGAAGGAGGAAACCTGGTATTAAGTTCTCTGGCCACTGTGTTCTTGTTGCAGTCAGTGGTCAAAATTGATCCTGCCCTCAAATTGATTTTTCTGCACAGAACTAGTTGTGAAAATTACTACTCCTTCCAAAGATCGCCCAATCCCTTGGGCCAGAACTGGTTACTGAGTAACGAGAACCTAATTCAATGCCTCCGAACCCTCCCACCCGCACCGCAGTCATACCTCACAGGCTCTAACGTGAATCACAGAGGCTCGTGTGTTTCACCAACTAACACTGCTGTTCCTCGGCAGCCGCGGGGGGGGGCGCCCCTGTCCCTGGACGCCTCGCGTTAGCGCCTGGGCGCTCTGAACAGCAGAACTAGGGATGGGGCAGGTCTGTGACCCGGAGCAATGCACGTGCTCAGCAACATTCTCCGCGTTTCATTAGCACTAAACAAGTCTCTTGCTCTCAGGAATTTGTCCAAAAAAGAATAAAAACCACCTGAGATTCCATGTTCCAGATTATGAACTTTTCTCCTAGGTTTGAATTGCTTACTTACATGTCCTGAATTAACCATGGCTTCATTTGACCACCAGGTCTTAAGTCTGTTGACAGTTTCAGCATGACTGAATCGCTCATTTTTTTGCTTTCAGAAATTGGCTTGGTTCTCTTTAGAGTTGGTGTAAACATGCCATGTAATAAATGATTTCCACTTAATGGTACAACAGAATTATTGCTTTCTTAGATGTATGTGTAGTAAAAGTCAATATACACATTTATATAATTTCTTTCTTCAAAATCTTATACTTAATTTGATATTTCTAAAAATTGCACATGTAAGTCATGTGTATAACATGCTAAAGTACTTTAACTGTGATCTTAAAACTGAATAAAAATATTTAATAAAAATTTGAAATATTTTAAAGATATTATTCAAATATCTTTCTTTACGTTCACACTACTGGCTATAGAGTAAGTGCCTTCAGTATACCCTGTCTACTAAAACCAGCAGGGAAAACACTTTAACGAAAGATACTTCAGCTCTTTCAGAATGCAGATGACCATCTCCCCCAAACTGTTTGCCTGATAGTCACTGTGTTTGAGCAGCCCAGGTTGCTTCTCCCTAACGGGTGGAGGAGAAACCAGCCTGACAGAAGAAAGAAGATCTGCCTCATTCCGCTACTTAGGAGGAGGGCCTCTGGGAAAAGTGTGACCTTGAACATGCCAGCTTTCCCTGGACTGTAATAAAACTGGAAGTGATATCATTAAGAACATAGCCTAAAATATAAATTCAGACCTCAGTTTTGCTGGATGCATTGTCCTGACCCTTTGGACCTTGGATATGTTATTTTAATCCTTAAGGAGAGCACACACACACACAGTATATAAATACAGTATAATGATACCACAGGCTTTGTTCAGACAAACTTGGCTTCAAAGTCTGGTTCTACTTAATCCATTTATCATTGGGCTTTTCAACCCTCCCTGAACCCCACTTCACTTACTAAATGATGGTGGTGATAATCCCTCCTCACACTTCTGCTAGGATGAAAAGAAAATACTTTTGAAGATATTGGCATAGGGCCCATAACAGAAATATCCATTAAATGGGAATTGTTGATTTTATGATTTTTATTCCAACTCAAAGGTTGATATGTTTATGTATATTTGAAAGAGGTCCTAAGTATAGCTATAGCTTCCTTTTTAAACTTAAAGGGCCTGCTGCATCAGGAGTAAGCAATAGCAGGAAATATAATGGTGTAGGAAACTCAGAATATGTTATATTTACATAGGTAACTCACACTTGTGTATGTAGCACTACGGGATTTTTCCATAAAATTAGTCTACCTGATGAATTACATGTTTCAGGACTCCAGCACCTTTTTTCCCTCTAATTACCAGGAGTAAAACGTGTTGTAGCGATGATGGGAGTATATAAATTCTAGAAAAAAAGACAAGTTAGAACTATGTATGGTTTTATGGCTCTACATGTATTACACAGATCTGCCCTTTGAGGTAGAACATAGTCTCATGCAAGGAAAAACAAAATGGTAATCACTAAATGAGCTAAAACCAATCCCACTGACTCCATTCCATACAACTGAAAGAACATAAAATCGTTCATCGTAATTTTTCAGAAACCTTTTCACCTTTTGGGAGTATGGAAAATTTCAAATCTATGCAAAGGTAAGAGCCTAGCACATTGAATTCCGTGGGCCTATCACCAAGCTTCAACCAATACTAACATTTTTCCAATTCCTGTTTCATTTGTGTTTTACCCATTTTCCTTCATTTCATTTCCCAAGCCTAGCTATGCATATCCCAGAAGTGTGATTTCATGTATAAATACTTCAGATATAGCCTTTAAAAACAAATATTTTGATATGCACAAATTTTTTTTTAAATGTCTCGCCTCCTCATGATTCCAAAAATATGTTTGTTTCCCGCCCAACGCAAAAGGAATCCGTCAGCCACAGGAAGAATCGTGCTGGAGTGAAGATAATTTGGAATTTGGTTTTGCTGTTCACACTGGCTATCTCTAGATTTACCTTTCTTGACCTACAGTGTTCTGAGGAGATCATCAGAGAGACCCTTTTCTTGGCATGTCTTTATTTTCTGTCTTGCTTTTTATGTCCTTTCCCAATTTTCTAAGTGTCTAAGAAGGCCCAAGAGCTAAAACTTTTATAATTTTATATAAAACTTTTACAAACCTGTATGTGTTCCACACTTTTCTCTCCACTGCTGCTTCTACTTGGGTTTTCCTCTCAGACTTGCAAGAATGAAATCTGTGGAGGGAAACAGTAGAGGCAAAATTTCAGATGAGCTTTGGAAAGCGGGTTGCCAATGAATGGAAAACATCTGGAGCCCTGGGTCAACAGGCCAGAAATTAAAAGCGTAAAATGAAATCGCTCCTGCAAGAGATAAAATGGTAACTCATACTGTACAGCTCAACCCACTCGGAGATCCCTCAGCCTATAGAATTTTACAAAAGGTCCTTTTGTCTCAAGGTTGTGTATTGCAGAAGTCAGAAAAGAAAAATGTGAAGATTGAAAGTTTCTTGAGAATGATGGAGGCTGAGAGAGGAAAAGGGAAAGTTCAGACAAACAGGCCTTTCAAGTTCAATGTCTAAAAGTCAAAATGGCTTTAAAGCCAGCATGAAAATATATCCAAGAAGTGTGCTCAAGTATCAATGATTACATTTTCCTGGTCTCTATTACTATTGGGCAATGGAGCTTATGGAAGGCACATTGAATAGATAGGATTCATATCTTCCAGACACAAGCATGAAAGTATTGAAGAGACATACAAACGGGAAATACACTCAGTAGATGCAGAAATAGGTAATGATTTGCCATCTAATTTGAAGCATATATTTGAAATAT